TAATGATTTATGGTCCTTGATTTTAGCCCTCAGTTCTTGATCCACTTTGAGTTGGTTTTTGTGTATGATGTGAGGTATGGATCTTGCTTGAGTTTTCTACAGATAGTTTTCCAGTTATCCCAACACCCTTTGTTAAACAGGCTCATATTTTTTTTTATAATGTTCATTGTCATTGGATATGTAAAGCTGTCTTTAACATTTTAAAATATTTTTGCTACCAGTCATAGTATTTGTGTGGGACACTAAGATAAAAGAACCAAAAAGCATCTTGAGTGATCCTGGGTTCAGAAAAATCATTTGAGATGCTGTACAAGCCTTTATATACAATAGATGACAGACCAGAAACCTCCTAGTTTTTATCCTGTCAAAACCCACCCACCAGTGGCTTCTTTTCACTTTGGTGGGAGCACCTTTGCAGAGCGTTCTTTGTGGGCTAACGGCTCTGCAAATAAATGTGAAGCAGGCAGACAAGCACACGGCCCTGGGAATGTGAGCACTTGTAGCCTGACTTTGGCTGTTGTTGAATGTTTTCTCTAAAGAAAGAGAGCATGCATTTTTAGACTAAGAAAATTGCCTTTTCCCTCCTAGGCAGTATCTCTGAATCTGAATAAAAGTTTGAACAGAGTATTATTATGTTGAAATAATAATGTGTGTCAACATTTCCACTCATACGAGATTCTAGATCCTATTCAATGCCTACCTTTAAAACCTCAAAATCCAGAATAGTTCTTCTTAAAATACTCTTTGAAATAAATGACAGCCCTTTACCTGACTTAATTTTCCAAGATGGATGGCCCAGTCAGGGACTGTTTTTTATATTAGCTACTAATGAGTATTATCGAGTCACTGACTAATTCTGGAGAGCATTTTGGTGAGATGTAATCGGAGCTGTGATTTACTGAGTATGAAGAGTGACAGGACGTTCCTAAGCTCTGCAGTTGATGTGGATGTACAGTAAAGGCCCCTGACGGTCATCAATTTCTTTGTAAGCGGAGGGCAGGCAAAAGTAAAATCTCACCAAAGTAGAATATTATTTTTGTCAGCCATTTCTGCGTTTTATTTTTATTTAAAATGGCAGAAAATGTGAAACGCCGCGAAACTTTGGAAGGGAAATCCTGTCCATTCCCCAGAATGAAAGTCAGATATTAAAACATCATCCGTCACAGCCGTTCTCTGGCGCTAAATGGATCATTATATAGTTGGTGACCCGCAGAATAGTCCAGGTAGGGTGATACATTTCCGCGCCTGGGCCTGCTGCACGGCCTGTGTAACTGATGATTCCTGGGAGGGCACTATCTGCTTCTGGTGTTTATTGGATTTCATGGAAATGGAAATGTATTTATTTATCTTTCTGCATTCCTGACTTTTGCAAAGAAAGGATGGAACAGTCTAATGTGAAAATAAGGAAAACACAGTCTAAACTGACCTACAGACATTTGCATGTAGAACTGAATTTGAGACTCTCATTTCCTTTTTCCCCCTTAAATAGTTCTTCTTGCTGCTACTGCAGATGGATTGTTGGCTTTTCCACTTGCTCTTTTGAATAGTTTTCTCTGTGAGGTGGTGTGCGTGTGTACACGTGCGTGTGGGTGCCTGCCCCCCAGGGTTTCTGCATGAGAATCGGGAGGCTGTGCCTCTGGTTGCTTCATGGGCTCATCTCTCAGAGCCCCTGAATCAAAGAATTCCCTACATTTTATTTATTGTCCTCTGTGTACATCTAGGTCTTTCTCTTGCAGGTGCTATTTACTGCTTTAAACACTGGACAGCTCTCAGTCTCCTCTCTTTATTCTGTGATACTACATTGAATTGTAGAGAGCTCTGGTAGCCTAGTGGTTAGAAGGTACACTGCAATCCCAAAGGCATGTGAGGGTAACTGCCTGGGAGAACCTTCTGGAGGGTCAGCTGTACATCGCTTCTCACTAGATATTACACCACCACAACAACAGTAACATTCTCCTGCTGGGTTGTTGGCTAGGTTTTTCCTTCATCTCTGACCATTCTTCCTTAGATGCTTTTGTTGGCCTCCTTTCTTCTTTTCAACCTCTAAAGACTTAGTCTTGGACCTTTTTTTCTTTCTTCACTTTCTAAGAAGCCAAGCTTTCTACCCTGTTGGAGGACCCTTAGTCTTAGTTTTGCTTCTTCTTGGAACTCCTTCCTTTCAAGTGTTTCCTGTCCAATTCACTCCTCATTTTTCATTCTGTTTCCTCCTGTATGAAAAGGAAATCCTGTTTTTCATTGTCATGTAAAATCACCAAAGATTTTCAAATATCAGCACAGTCGTTATTTTTCAGAAATAATCATAACCCTTATACTTACCTTCTGTTATAATTTTTGTACAATTATGTTCCGTATTAACTCTTTAAGCTCCTCAAAGGCAGTAGTCTTATCTTTCACTTAATTTAGCCCCCACTGATCATAGCATAATCTCTATGTATAGTAATTGTGTATAGTATGATAAATTCAAATAATCATAAAACTACAGAAAGAGAAACATAGTTATAGCTGCCAAAGATTCCTCATTATTTTGGTGTTTGGGGTTTTTTTTGGTTTGTTTTGTTTTTTTACTGGAGAACTTGGAACCTCTGTAATTACTGCCTTTGGTCTGTAAAAGCTCTTATTTGTGGCTTGATATATGACTCTGAGTGAACTTTCTGTCAAAGGATCTGAGACACTAAGCTGTATAAGTGGTACAGAAAATATGAAACTATTCTTTCACCCGATCTTCCCAAACTGAAGAAAGAGAAATAGCTTCTATTTCTTTGCATTGTTGATGATTCTCTATCCTGCCTGCTAATCAGAGTTGTATTATTTTATCTTATTTAAAGACTATCTGTGCATTCTTTCTCTTCTTTGAATCTTGGATATTAATTCACTGCCAGTTATATTGGTAAAAATTTCTGAAGGAGGGAAATGTTTCTCTAAACCCTCAAGGCTATTAAGTGCTTTATTATAATGTAGATAAAAATATTGTTGTTAGGAGAAAGGATGATATTGTCAATAAGGCTGTTTCTCTTTTGCTGCAGAAGTACTATGTCAGAAGATATTGTCCAATTTTTCATATCCTTTACATGAGCTTAAAGACCCTTGGGAAGTGAGCAGCTAACACCAAATTTCTTGTCTTTGGTGTGGCATTGAGCAGTAGTCATGGAAAACAGTTCTGTGTGGTCTTGAAGCTTTCAAGAGAGTCTGTTACATATGAAGAAATGCTCCAAATCACTGTCAGTAAGAGAGATGCAAATCAAAACCACAATGAGATACCATCTCACTCCAGTAACGGTGGCAAAATTTAACAGGACAGCAAGTAATAAATGTTGGAGAAGGTGTGATGAGATAGGCACTCTTATACATTGTTGGTGGGATTGTACAGTGGTACAACCACACTGGAAGGCAGTTTGGCGCTTCCTAAAAAAAAGGTAATCATAGAAATTCCATATGATCCAGCTATTCTATTGCTTGGAATATACCCAAAAAAAATGAGAACTGAGGCACAAATAGAGACTTGTACACCAGTGTTCATAGCAGCAGCATTCGCCATTACAAGACCATGGAAACAGCAGTTGTCCAGCCACTAATGGATTGAGAAATTATGGTACATTCACACAGTGGAATACTACACAGCACACAGGAGCAATGATTTAATGAGTTGTTACCCAACTTGGAAAGCATTATGCTGAGTGACCTAACTCAGTTCCATAAGGACAAATACAGTATAAAATCATTACTGTAGAATGATTATGTGGATCCAAATGGGGGGTGCATGATGGGGAAGAATTAATCATGAGGTCACACAATTTGATGGGTGGGGGTGAGGGAAATGGGAAGGATCTGGTATGAAAGGCAATGTATTCAAATTTTGTAAATAAGCTAATATAAAAATTTTTAAAAGAGAGTCTGGTGAAGTAACGTGCCTGCGTTTTGTACACATGCACATGGGTATCTGTGAGAATGTTTGGATGGAGCTGTGAACTGGGAAACATACAGACCTACAATTTATGGACCTTTCACAGCTGGCCAGCAGGCAGATGGTAAGCACTTTCAGGGAAAAGCAAGGAAATGAAGCTTTAGGCAAAACGATCACATCTTACTGCTTTGCTCATCTGCAGAGATCTTGGGGGTCAGATTTGATTTTCAGAGGAAATTAAGCTCCCTGATGACTTTCTGTATTTTCTCGCCTTTTATTTTTTCTGATTGAAGGTATGTGTCCTCTTTGTGAGACAACCTCAAATTGAAACGCTTTCTTAGCCTGCTTGCAAATGAGAACATTATTAATATATTTCTTCTTTCTGTAGCTTTTATGATACTGTTTATGGACAGTTATTCTTTATGAAGTATTGATGGTTTGTGGAGTACTGGACAACACAGAGGATATTTAGGTCCAGCTAAGGGGAGAAGAGACAGAATAGTCTCTTAGTATAAAGAAGTATTATTAATTTATTAATATTTATTAATTAATTTATTACTAGGGCTACTCTTTTCTAATTTGACCTGGGACTAGCAGACGATGAGATGTCCCTGGCTTATTATTTTTTTATTGCCCAGTACTATTTGACAGTTATTCTAAAAGGATTCAAGAGGAGGGAAGAGAGGATATATTTTCTACAGATATATCAGGAAAGGCAATTTTCAGTTGTCCAAATAGCCCTAAAATTCTGAGAGCAAAATAAAACACAGCAGCATCAAGCAGAAGCCTTAAAATCCTAAAATGGATACTTTGTTTTCATTCTAAATATTTTAGAAACTGAAATTTGTTTCTTGACAAATACTGACATCTTCTGAACTTCTCAGAGGTCCTGTGAAAGGAGCATTTTGCATCTTACCTTGCCTTCTCACTGAGCCTCTAAAAATCCACACAGCTGTTTTTTGTTTTTTTTAATCCACATGACTCTGGTGCATACTGGCCCTGAGGCTCTTGAGCTGTAGAGCCACGTGCTACATCAAGGTGTGCACTTGAACAAGGGCTGCCCAGATCTAAGAACATGAATTGATGTCTTTTGTTCCAGTGAGTCACCAGCTAATAGGCCACATCGAGCAGTTTTTGGACACTAACGCGACCCCATATTTCCTGAAGACCATGGACTGCATCAAAGCCTTCCGGGAAGAAGCCATCCAGGTACCACTGTCCTTGCCTGTCTTCTCTTCCTGTGCGTTTGATCCCATCACCATGGTCTATCACACTCCCCAAATGAAAAGGAGAAAGAACAGTTTATAAAACAATTGGGAAAACATGAACATTAGCTGGTTATTTGTTCCTGTGAAGAAATTATTATTAATTTTTAGAGGTTTGATAATGACATGTGAATGTTTTGTTTAAAAAGAAAAGTCTCTGTCTTCTAGGTATTCTATATTGACATTTTTATAGATGAAATAATAAGACAGATATTTTTCCTCCACATAGTTGGGGTTTGTATGAATTGTTCAGTGGAAAACCAATTTGCTCAGTAAATTTTCCCCCACATCACAGTTAAAAAAAAAAAAAAATTAAATCAGGTTTTCAGAAAGAAAGTGGAGCTATAGATGAAACAAGATTGACCAAGTTGATAGTTGTTGAAGGTGAACGATGGAGCAATGGATACCTGAGCATTTCTGAAACTATTCTCTTTTTGTTTGACTTTGCGTATGTTGCAAGTACTAGACCACCAGAAATCCTAGATGGGTTACTGGGCCTTGCACATAGTGGAGGGTTGCTTGTTCCAGGCAAACGTAGCTCAATTTGAAATGCCAGCTTACCGTTTACCAACAGAGAACTTTGTCCTTTTACACACATGATTCAAATATTCTTGGTCTGGAAATGCCTTTGATTTTGCATTTGCTGCGACATGCCACCGTCTCACCCTTTGTGTCCCACCACAGTTTTCAGAAGAGCAGTGTTTTAACAGTTATCTGAAAACCCTAAAGGAGAAAGTGCATCTGAAACAGTTAAATCACTTTTGGGAGATTGTCGTGCAGGGTAAGGTGCTGTTTCTGTTGATTTCCAAATACATGTATGATTTTGCTTTTTAAATGCACATGAAATAGAAATAAATATTCCTAACATAGATGGTGCTATGTGTCCTGTGGGGACCCAGTTGATGAAGTTCTTTTAGGATTTAGGAAATGCTGAGGGTCCCAGGAATTAAAAACCCTTTCCTTCCTCAGCATAAATGGGAAATGGTAGTTAAACACGTCAGTCACACCTTCAGTGTCGTGCATTTCTGTGTGTTGATTGAAGCCGTTTGGGCAGGCGTTGCCCACTCCTCCTGGGAGCCCACTTCTTTCAAGAGCCCCTTCCTTCCGGGAGTCCTCTCCTCCCAGGAGTCCCCTCCTCCCGGGAGTCTCCTTCCTCCCACGAACCCCCTCCTCCTCTAAGCTCCGTCTTCCCATGAACCCCATCCTCCCATGAGCCCCCTCCTCCTGTGAGCTCCGTCCTCCCATGATCCCCCTCCTCCCATGAGCTTCGTCCTCCCATGATCCTCCTCCTCCTGTGAGCTCCCTCCTCCCGTGAGCTCCGTCCTCCTATGAACCCCATCCTCCCGTGAGCTTCGTCCTCCCATGAACCCTATTATCCTGTGAGCTCCGACCTCCCATGAGCCTCATCCTCCAGTGAACCCCCTCCTCCCATGAGATTTTGAGGCCGTTTCAGTGTCACTGGATCTATCACACTTTCCTTAACCTCACCCACGTTTGCCCTCCTCCCGTGAGCGCCATCCTCCTGGGAGCCCCCTCCTCCCAGGAACCCCTTCCTCTCATGAGATTTTTAGGCTATTTGTGTGTCACTGGGTCCATCACGCTCTCCTTGGCCTCATTCACATGTTTCTCCTCCTCCTCTGAGCCTCTGCACTGCCATGTTCTTGGACATCCCCCTGCAGCCGGCTGGTGCCCATTGAGGCCAGAAAGAAGGCAGGACCCGCCCTTCAGTTTCAGGCCTGATGAATGATCCCTTTCATGCACTTAGCACATTTTATTTTAACCTCACTTGGTTTTTCTTTCAGGACCCAAGTATAAGGTAATACTTATTAAAAATACCTGCTGTAAAAATAATGGATGTTGAAAACAGGGGAAATCTTTCACTTAGAGTAGGGCACAAGAATTAGTTTCACCATGTCTTTTCTGTGCAAATTCTGTATTAAACGAGTTGAGTACCTGTCTATCCAGGTTCTAACAGGCTGGTTTTCATCACATAAGCTACCGTTTTCCTGACAGTTAATTTTTCAGACCTTTAACTTCTACGCCGGGGAGCGAAAGCAATTAGAAGAGCTGGTGAATAGGGCTTTACCCAAATCACTTTTGTGTCTCCGCTGCAGACTCAGTAGATGAAAGAAATTGGTTTGGGTGATTATTGAATGCCTCTAGCACATTGTTTGCTGAAAGGAAACTGAAAGAACATACACAAGATGCATATTTTTTGAGGACGTCTGTCCTACAGAGCATGTACCCAACTTGTGCCATTTCTAGGAACAAATGGATGTTAAATGCAGGTGCTTTTCTAAAAGTGTCATCGATCAGTCATTTGAAGTAAAAGCAAATCTTAGGAAGAAGGGGAATGAAAATAAAGGGAAAGATTTCTAGCCTTAATTTGTCTTCACTGAGCTTCTACCAACATGCTGATCTAAGCGCTGGACATTCCACTGTAAGAGAGATTGCCTTTTCACCTTATTCCTCTTCTTACTTCCAGCAAGAGTCAGGACCACCACCAGAAGTCAGAATATATGCATATTCCCACCTAATGAGCTTGCACAAAAGTTTATGTTCATTCAGTCATTTAGTGAGCCTCTGCTGTGCGAAACACTGAGGGTCACATAAAGGTGGATAAAGCCTAATTCCTGCTCTTGAGACTAGCAAATGTTAGGAGAGAGAAAGTGTGTACCTAACACGGTCTATACAGGATACACAGTGTGGTGGTCATTTCAAAAGGACAAGCAAGTTGATTTGAGAATTCTAAAGAAGCAGAGATGACTTCGGTCTAGAGTTCAAAGAATGCTGTAGGGAGTAGTTCATAGTTTTATGTGCGATTTTCATTTTGCACAAGCAAAAATAGATGAGGAAATGATGTAAAGTATTAGGGACTCTGTGAATTAAGAAACTCACTATCTTAGTACTATGCACTTTTATAGTTTTAAAAATCTTCTGTCCTGAAGGTGGGAGGAGATGTGATGGAAAAGTCAGATGAGATTGGGTTATTTTCTTGTATTTGGAGTTTACTCTGTCAATTATTTTTCAGATGGAATTACTCTGATCAGCAAAGAGGAAGCATCTGGAAGCCCCGTCACAGCCGAGGAAGCCAAAAAGGTACTGAGGGATGACTTCCTATCATTAGATGAATTACTGCAGTGGGCACTGCTTTCTCAATGTCCATTCTTCCTTGAAGAAGTTAAATTTTAAAGGTAACTAAATTAGGCATCCATTCTTTAGCCAACCAACCAGCAAATTGCTTCAACTGTGGCACAGTCTTAGAAGAAATTGCGAGATCAAACAGTTTCGCATAAGCCATACTTCTATTTCCAGAACTTTCCTGTAATCCAACCAGCAGTGCCTCTTAAGCTGTGGTGTCCACGGTGCCTTGCAAGCTTAGTCTAGACCTCATAAAGGCTAGTCAAGGACTTTCATCTTTGTGCACACATTAGATGCCGTAAGAACTATTTCCTAAAAATACCGACAACCAGGCCTTACCTCCCAGGAATTCTTTAAGTGGAAGATAGATTCCTGACCGTGGGTGGTTTCATTTATTGGGGTTTTTAAAGCCCCTCTGTGATTATAAAGAGAGCTTTGGTGGTATGTGGTGCTGAAAGAATTCGACTGATTACCTAAGGTGCCCCTGATCCAAGCCGTCATCTTCTTAACAACTTGCTATGCGTCAGAGAGCTGGCCAGTGACTAAGGAGGATAGAAGGAGAATTGATGCCTTTGAGCTGTGGTGCTGGAGGAGAGTATTGAATATATCATGGACTGCTAGGAGAAGAAACAGGTTTATCCTGAAACTTGGCTGCTCCTTGGAGGCAAGGATTCTGAGGCTTCATCTGACATACTTTGGACATGTTGCAAGGAGGGACCAGTCCTTGGAGAGAGATGTCATGCTTGGAAGGGTGGAGGGACAGTGCAAGAGAGGAAGACTGCAGAAGAGAAGATAGATTGTCTCTGTCAGGGGTAAATGGGCGTGGGTATGTCAGAGACAATGATGTTGGCTCAGGATAAAGCAAGGTTCAGAACTGTTGTACATAGGGTCACTATGAATTGCAAGAAACTTAACAGCAGATAGCAACAACAGCCTTAAGGTTGGTGGTTCAAAGCCACTTGGCAGAAAGAGGAGATAAACTGATCCCTTAAAGCTGTGCAGTCTTGGAAACCCTAAGGGCACTTTTTCTCCAACGAGGTCGCTGTGAGCTGGTATCGACTGAGTGGCAGTGAGATTGGCGATTGTAATGTGCAGCAGGGCAGAGAGTGGTGGTCTAGGATACAGGATATCCAGAGGTTTTCATTTATGGAGCTGAAAGTTGTCTGTATAGAGATCCCAGGAGCTTCTTATGCCCTAAATAATGATACCCAAGTCTTCCTGGTCAGTGTTGAAGTACTAAATCTCATTGAGCTGTGAGTCAAGTATATGCATCTTCTTCTTCAATAACCCTTCATTAGGCCCCAGGTTTGGGGTGAGGAGTGCGTGAAGCTCAGAGGACTCGCTCAGTTTCATGGTAGACTTTGTTTGTCATGCAGCTTCACATAATCACTGATTGATGCCGTCATGCTAGCTCACACCTGGCTTTGTCTGCTGGCTCCCCGGCCCGGATTGCATAGGAGGCACTCTGCTAGATTTAAGACACCGTTTGTCCTCCAAGGGATTCCAGGCAGTCAGTTATATTGGCAATTTTTCGCTCAGTCATTGCTGTCACATTAGAATCGACTCGAAGCTGACCTTACAGGAGGTTTTCAGAGGCTGTAAATCGCCTGTGAGGAGGTTGCCCATCTTTGTCCATACAGCAGCTGGTGGACTCAGTCTACCTGCCTTTGGGTTGGAAGCGCAACTCCTTACCCACTAGGCCACAAGAGCTTCCTTATAAAGGCACAGTGAATACAATTCCAGACCTGATGACAAATCTAAAATAATTGTGTGCGCACTAAAGGAGAACTTAGCATCCGGGTGGAGAACAGAAATCTGTTAGGGGAATGGCAGAAAACAGTGCTGGAACTGTTCACTCTTACAGCTGAATTCAGGTGAAAGCATAAAATGACCTTAAATTTTCAAGTTCATGAAGACATTTGACAGAAACCATAATACTGTTTAGGGAGAAGCTAGTTAAAACAAAAAACTAATTTTTAAGCACTTTGACTGGCATATAAGGGTTTTGTTAAACAATAAATATCCTGATTTCAGGGAATGAGGCCCTGGAATTTTAGAAGCTGTGAGATGTTGCTTATTGTGTAAAATGAGAGATTTATGGTATCTGTACCTTCTTCCCCCGCGGTACTGGGTACCATGAGCTCAAGGATGTGGTTTTACACCTTTGGTGTGGCCACTTACACTGTGTACAGTGATGTGATGCTTCCTGTTCTGTCAGCTGGGAGGAACTCTTCACAGTCAGTCAGTGTTTACCAAACAAGCAAAATAAATCAAGACGGATCATTCCATTTCCTTTTTTTTTTTTAAAATCCCAGTGAGATTTGAGTACATAACAATAGTTTTGAAAATGAAGGACTGATCTATGAAAAGATACTTCTTCCTCCCCACCAAACCTCTTAACCAAAGGTGATTTAGTTAAGTGAATCCAGATTGTTAGAAGACAGTTCTAAGAAGAGACGGTGTGCTGTTTGTATGTTGTGTGAGGCCTCTTCTGTATTGCAAGGCAGTAACCTCTTCACAATTCAAAGGCACAAGGCCCAAGCATCAGAATTGTTAACCTCTGATAATTAAGCTGCAGAGAAGCATTTCAGCTAATGACAGGATGTGAAACCCAGCCCAACCCAATGCCCTTTGTTGGTTCTGACTCACAGCGACTTTATAAACAGACTGGAGCCGCCTCTTTGGGTCTCCAAGGCTGTAGGTCTTTAAAAGCACATACTGCTCCATGTTTCTGCTGCACAGCAGCTGGATTTGAACTTCCAACCTTTTCTTTAGCTGGCCAGTGCTACCAGGGTTCCCGATTAAGTATGAAGTGATGTGCTCACATCACTAGAATTGATTGCAGTGGTTGAAAGTTAAGGAAACTCTGGGACCATCACTGATAACAAGTAGAGAGAAGGCATAATGAAGACAGGTAGAGACTCTCTTCTGGTGGCTGCTGTGTTGAAGCACAGTGTTGCCTTATTTGAGGTGGGGTAAGCCTTCCATACTGCCAGCCAAGCTTAATTTCACTGACATGACAGACCAGGAACTGTCAAATTCAACCGAAATGAACTGAGGGAACTAACTCAGTCCCTCAAGGACAGATATTATATAAAACCATTACTGTAGAATGAGTGTAAGGATCGGGGGGGTTGGGGGGTGGAAGCAGAGGGATGAGGATGTGCAGGGGGAGGCGGATATTAATCATGGAGTTTATAATTTGATGGGGGAGGTAAGGAAGTATCTGTTCTGGAAAACAGTGTATTTGAATTTTGTAAATAAACTAGTATAATAATTAAAAAAAATACTGCCCCCCCACCCCAAAAAAAAATTCAACTGAAATGAGTGTCATCTGTCTGCCAGGAACATTATATATGTTGTGTACGTATATCCCAGCCCACTGCCATTCAGTTGATTTCATCTCATTGCAACCTTACAGGACAGAGATGAAGTCCGTGGGGTTCCCAAGGCTGAAATCTTTGTGTTACATAACAGGACCCCCTTCATCTTCGTAGAAGCACGTGCCGCGTGCGTGTCCCTCAGGGCTGCCGATGGTTAACTGATTGGTTAACTGCCCAGTGTTTAGCCACTCTGCCACCAGGACTTTCTTATATACATACATATAAAAAACCAAGACACTGCTGTCAGGTCGATTCCGACACTGGCTGAACTCCATCAAGTTTGCAAGGCTGTAAGTGTTAAGAGAATGAGACTGCCTCATCCTCTCACAGAATGGTGAGTTTGAACTGCCCACCTTTCAGTTAGCAGTCTAATACATTCTGTACCACGATGGCTCCTTTATATGCAGATCTCAAAACTCGTGGCCATAAAGTGAGAAGCTGACCCTCCATTGGGTTTCTAAAGCTATAAATCACACAGAAGGAGATTGCCTATCTATCTCTTGGGGTCTGCTGGCAGATTCGAACCAGCAGAGAGGTTTGGGTTAGCAGTACAGCTTCCTACAGACTGCATCACCAGGGCACCTTCTGTTTGCAAGATCATGAACTCTTCACTTTGTTTTTCAGTATAAAAGCATGATCCTTTGTGTTAAGAATGTTTTTAAATGCTATCGGCTAATTTGAGGAGAAATGTGTAGAAGGGAGAGTGCACATACAAATGATAATGAAGAGAGTAGTTGAGATTGTAGCTCGAGGAAGTTAATTCCTGTGGTTTAATAGGAGAGACATGCTTCAGCTCTTTCTCTTAGCCAAGTTGGAGAAGTGTAATCACTTTTGACCACACACTGAAATACTTGTTTATATTGCCTTCCAAGCAAGCATTAAGTTTGGTCCCAAATAATCAACTAAGGAAACTTGACTATCATCAGAGGTTGAAGGGCCATCCTCACAGTCCATTTAAATTCTTTCATGGTATTTACTACCGTAAGTTATTTAAAGTCAGCAAGCTGTCAGTTTCTTGCTATTAAATGTTGACAATTTGAGGGAAATTATTATCCAGGGATATTTCTTCTAAATGAAAATGAAATTATGATCCTACATTTGCACAGCAGCCATTTCCCTCCAGTCTGTTCTAGAAATGTAGATTTTATGATTCTTTTGAGAAATGGCATGAAGTCAGCCCTGGTACAGGAAGAGGAAGCACTTCCATGGCATAAGTTTAGAGATTCACTTCAAGTTTACCGCTCAGTTTGTTTTGAAGCCTAAGCATAAACCCTACCCTTTTTTATACTTTCATTGTCATGATTATCTTTCAGTTACTTCTGTCACTTTTTCTGTTTCTAACTGATATTATTAAATGTGCCATTAGCTTCCGATGTTTGATAAAATCTCTGTATAACCCTGTGTTAGAGGGTCTCTGTCAGTTCATTCTCTGTGTCAGAAGCAGGGCTATTTATCTGTGTGTTCCAGGAGCATCTGGGTCTGGGTTTGTTCCAGGTCAGTCAGTAAGAAGTCTTTGGGCTTGTGATAGGTCAGGATAGAATAAATGTGTCTTCACTTTGAAGTATTTCCTTCTTAATAAAAAAAAGAATTTTTTAAGAAGTTTCCTCTTAATAACTTATGCTGAAGTTAAAACAATGGTTAGCCAAGAATGATTTTGCTTCCCAAAGAACATTTGGGAAGGTTTAAAGATGAATCTGGTGTTTGTAAGTGGGAACATGCTACTGGTTCCTAATAGATGGAGACCTGATGTTGCTATACTTTCTGGCCCCAAAGGTAAATGAAATCACTGCTAAGATCCCTAGGTTAGGAGAAATTTAGCAAATTAAATCCTTGATCAAGGTGGAGTAGATACAGCCTTAAATTGTACATCTTTTTTGTTCAGATGGAAGGAATCCTAGTGATTTTCCCAGTTTACTTTTAAATCATGAATGCTTTCAAGGAAGCCATATATATCAGATAAAAATGGTGCTCTCACTAGATGGGCAGTGGGATTGGCATCTTGGGCTTATTCACACCAAAGGACTCCAGAGTACCCCCAGCACTTGAAAGAGCAGAACATGAAAAGTACTGATAAAGTCCTGAGCCCATTTTACAGATGCGGGGAGTTAGGAATCTGAGAAGTAAAAGGTTGCATCAGAGATTTCTTTGTCGGTTGTTGTCACAGAATGCAGCTCCGCTGACCCCCAGTCCCCTGTCCTTTCTGCTCCATGTTAAGAAATTGAGAGGAAAGCGGATATCCCCTCTTGGTGCTGGAGTGGGTTTTCTCAGGAGCTGAGCTGTCTAATCATTTGCTCTATGGGGCTCTTACTAGGCGCTGCCTGACTGTGCTGCCCTCCTTATTGGGGCTGACATTTATTGCTCTCACCATAGTTGAGGCCCTTTCAGAGCTTAGAGATCTGGTCATTTTACAGACATGATCCAGAAGTGAAGCTGATGAGCTAGTTTTTCACAGCAGGTTAAATGCAGGCAGAGCTGACTAGAATCCCTCCCTGGACTTTTCCTGTAAGTGACTCTTTTGTCATCACAGATGTCACTTCCTTCCTGTGCCCCACCTTACAACGCCACCAGCCCCATCTGCATAAATACTGCAGTCTCCTACTCCCTCTTTCAAGAACACACAGAGTTGTGTTGTGTGCACACTCAAACACACTCATATGACCTCATGTAGGATGACAAGAATCACTCTCTGAAAACAATTTTCTCTTAATTGTTAGCTCCTATTGGACTCCATGACATTTTCCTTTGCTCTTTCCTGTCTTAAATCTTTAGTCAGTCGGATCCAACTGGCACAGGAGGAGATTACCCCTCCTTCTCCAGCAGGGCACCTGGTGGATTTGAACCACATGCCTTCGGGATTGCAGCACAACTTCTTTGCGAGTAGGCCACCAGAGCTCCCTTAGTGTAGCTCTTCTATATGTTAGTACAAGAAAGGCAATTGTGAAAACATCACAGTGCTATCTTGTACTTGTGTAGGACTTGATCGTTTTTAGTGTATTTTTTAAAAATGTTTTATTGAGGTGAGCATGCAATATAGGTTGTTGTTGTTATTATTAAGTGCCATCAAGTCGCAGGTGACTCATATCGACCCTATGAAGGAGAGTCCCTGACGCTTGGGTGCCTTTCATCCGCTCTCCAGGTTCATAGGGTTTCCGGAGGCAAGCTATTATGGAAGTGCATGCCACTTCTCCTTCCAAGCTTGTTTTAATTGGGGAGCTCCACCCCACTCTCTGTCTGCATTGGGTAGCCAATCATTAACACATTTGACACACCAGTGTTCAGCCTCACAGCAACCAAAAGTGAACACGGTATAGCGTCTTGTACACCAGGGCTGTACAACCTCGAATGTCTGAACAAAAACAATGAAAGGCTGGCCTGAAGACTGCAGGCCTGAGGGCCCTTTTGGGCTTGAAGCCCTGTGCTGCCACCTTAACCCCTAGGCCAAGCCTGGCTTGCCTGGCTCCTGGAGGCAGAGTAGTCCTTCACATCCAAAAACTGCCACAACACCCACCCAAATAGCACCATGCTCTCTCTGTTTGCCGGGCCATAGCAACCCTGGGTGGAGCAAACCTGGGAGAACATAGCCGCCGACTCTCCCCTCTTCTCCTTCCGGGCTTGAAGCCCTGTGCTGCCGCCTTAAACCCTAGGCCAAGCCCGGCTTGCCTGGCTCCTGGAGGCAGAGTAGTCCTTTGTGTCTGAAAACTGCCACAACACCCACCCAAACCACAATATAGGTAGATAAGTTTAAAATATACGACCAGCACACATCTAAAAATACAGGCTCTTTCTGTTAGCCTAGAAGGCTCTCTGACACCCTTCCAGGTGTCCCCCTCCCTCAGGGTAACCTCTACTCTGAATTCTGTCAGTCTAGAGCTCTGTATCTTAATTAGAATAATGCACTTTGTGATTCATTCATACTTTTCTGTCTTTGTAATATTCTGTTACAAGGTTGTGTCATGGTTTATTCATCCATTCTCCTAAAGATAGACATTTGGTTGTTTTCTGAATTTAGCTCTAAACAATAAAGATACTATGGGTATTCTTGCACAAATCTGAGACTCTCCACTTCCCAATGTAAAATAAGTTATATTTTTGAGGAGAATTAGTTTCAGAAAGATCAGGTGGCTTGCCTGTAGCTACTGAGAAACCGACAGAGGTGGGGTTACATAATTTCTCTGCTATACAAGGAATAAGCTGCAGGTGGCACTGGTGAACCCAAATGTAGCAAAATACGTGCAAAGCAAACAGGTTTTTGTTCTTCCTGATGCATGTAGATAGTGATTCTTTGAAATAGCCTGGTAGAATCCATGTGCTGTTAATATAGAGATGAGAGCATAAGCTCATTGGGACTGTGTATTCTGAGAAGTGATGGGCCTGGGAGCCCCTGTGCAAAGTTTCTGTATTCCCTTTCTCTGCTTCAGGCCAGGATGTCTTTCAGGATTTTGAATAGTGGTAATTTAGCCCCTTCATAAAGACCTCCAGCTAAGGAGGCACTTTCTGGGGAACCTCACTCAAGGAAGGGGGAGTAGTCACCCAAAGGTCCTTACTATTTATTCTCACCTCTTTGAGCGGGAAAGGGCAGGCGAGAAGTTGAGCACTGAGTCCTTCCTACCCTGCCAGCCACAGCAGAGCCTCCGCCGTCTTGGTTGAGAAGGCAGGCCCATCACTGAATCCTCCGAATCGGCAGCTCACCTGTTACCCGCTGTTGGAAACTCTGACACTGTGAGTGTGAGAGATGAGCCTGGCCTGGGGCTCACAGAGGGATAACGGATGGCAGCCCAGCTTCCAGGCAAAATTGACTGACATAGAAATGGACAGCGGCTCTGTCAGGAAACTCAGTTGCAGATGTTTTCCTCCTGATGGAAATGGAGCTTTCCATGTGCTGCTGCTGCTGCTGCTTCTCCAGAACTTGGCCTTGTCTCTGAAAGCCGTTTGTGTTCACCTGTTTACTGCACTAACAGTCCTATCTTAATTTATTCATTAATTGCAATATGAAAGGGGCTTTGCAGGCACAAAACGAGGCCCACTGCTGTCGAATAGATTCTGACTCATGTCAGCTGTCGGTTGAGTTTCCCACAGAAGAACTAGTGGGTTCGAACTGTTGACCTTTTGGTTAGCAGCTCCACACGGAACCCATTATGCTACCAGGTTTCCTCTTGCAGTTTCAGAGTAGAAACTGGAGATTTTAGAGACTGAGAGCCAAAGAATAAATACTAGGAATGTTCTAGATTCATCAGTAAGGACGCAGGGAGCTAGGTGGCACACATGATTAAGTGCTCAACTGTTAGCCTAAAGGTTACCAGTTCAAATTCATTGAGAGCTGGCTCAGAAGACAAGCCTGGTGATCTGCTCCCAAATGGTCACAGCCTTGAAAACCCTCTGGCACACTTTACCCTCTGCCGGTGAGTGTCAGGATGACAAAGAGTGTCGGGGTAGGAAAGATACATAATAACCACAGGGCAGGATTCGGGCATCGAAGCCTATAGAGTTTGTCATATATTTACAAGGACCATCATTTATAGTCTCATAGATGTTTATGGTGGAAATCAGCTTTTCTGTATGTGTTCCTGATATAGGAACAATCCTGTAGGCGGTAATGATAAGTAGGAAAGAGAGCAATAGAATAAAATAGAGTAACGTTTAGGAAAACCATAAATACTAGTTTGGTTTCTTAGGATCTGGTTAGGCTCCCACTGCCGACTGAAAAGTTAATAGTTCAAACCTCCCCAGTAACTCTCCACAGGAGAAAAATCTAGCAGCCTGCTTCCATAAAGATTCCAGTCTTTAAAAAAAGGAATTCCAGCCTAGGAAACACAGTGGCACAGTTCTGTTCCATCCTGAGGCTGCTAGGAGTTGAAAACTGACTTGATGGCCCCCTAACAACAGATAAACACATGGGTTTTCTTTTCATTTACTTGTGTTTTACTCTTAGATATCTTTATTAATGGAATAATCTATTGGGGGGGGTGATTAGTGATGCAAAAGCAGCATAATGGTTTTATTCCAGAATGTCCTCCCCTCAGTTATAGAATTTTCCATCTTTATCATTGATTGATTGTTAACCTTGAGCATGGTCCATTCTAAGGCCCTCGCAGAGCTATGGGGAGATAAATACCTAGCGGTTAAATCCCTTTATCTCTCGGTCAAACCTGGGGTTAGTGAGGGTGAGGAAGTTCTGAATGAGGGGAGGAAGAGGACTGAAGTTGAGTCAAACAGATGGTCATGTGCGTGTGTCCACAGCGCTGATGGGCAGTCCTGAAGCAGAGCTGTCCCTTCTGCTCTTGATGCTGTTACCTGTGTGTCCTAGTCAGTGAACGCTGCTGTAACAGAGAGAACCACAAGTGGAGGCTTTTACAGACAGATCTACCCTCTTTCCATTTAGGAGACTAGAAATCCAAATTCGGGGTACCAGCTGCTGGGATAGGAGTTCTCTCTGTGTCTCCTGGTCCTGGGAGTATCACATGGCAGGGAGCTGGGTCCACAGGACATACTTCACCTCTGGCTCTGTCCTTGGTGGTGCTAAGGTACTCTCCTTCTCTGTTTGCTTTTCTCTCCAGTTGGGGGAAGTGCACTAGATCACAGTGCAGGGAACCTCCCTGACCTTGGGTCAGGGCTGTGTGTCCAGCCCACCTCTGATCCTTAGTAACTAACTGGCTTAGCAGGTCACGGGGCACCGTCTGGTAACTCCCACATTGTATCCATATGTCTTAGGGCGACATAGTTCAGTTCATGACAGAGGAACAGAAGGATACACAGACCTGTTGCTGACATTTCCTGCATGCAGCCTACTATTTAAAGGGTGACTCCTGGGTTTTTTTAATTTGTTAAAGAGCTATTTTACGTTGTTTCTAGGTGATGGCTTTCTCAGACTTCCACTGTATCATAAAAATAAGAGTCAACCTAAGGAAAGCCATTCTTACCATTTTTTCAAGTTGAGAACGTGAGAAAAGTTCTGCTGTCCTCTTGTTGATTATGGAGGTTGGGGAGGACTCTCGCTGTGTGCTTCTCTACACTCAGTGTCGCTGAGGAAGCCGACTGGGGCTTTCTTCCCAGCCTCCCTGCTCTTCTCCTTCATCTGCTCTTCCTGGCCTGTCTCTTCTGAGCACAGCTATGCTGTAAATACTTATGCTCTAGATGCAGTTAGCACATGCCTTGGAAGCACCGTGCCCCGAGCATAGGGCGGAACACAAACATGCTCAGACCCTTCTCAAGGGTACCTTTTATCATTTTGTGTTTCAGTCCTAGCCCCTTGCAGACATCAGGGATCTTGCTTTTCTGTGTTTCTACCTTCGTGTGTAAGCACAGGGCTGTTTAATCGAAAGATTGGCAGCTTAGGAATCCCGGGAGGAGGCCCCTTGAGTCAGAACCACCTCGGTGGCTGTGGGATTGAGGTCCGTTTTTGTCCCTTAGAAGCTCTGGTCCAGAACACCAATGCGGAGCAGAAGAGTACATTAGTATTCTTTTGTCCATTTCCCTGCTAAAATGCCTATCACAAATTTCTGGAAGGGTTTCCAGAAAAGAATATTAAGCACCCTCCCAAGCTCACCTATTTTTTGTCTCATATCTATTCCAAGACGTCTGGAATTGAAGAATAGCAGGGGAAAAAAATCTTTGAGTTCAAAGATTTGAAAGAATGTTTACCCTCCCTTCAAGAGACTGAGACTTACTGGCTTGGAGTGTTTGGTCATTTCCATAACCTTCACAAGCCTCCTGATCCCCTATGAAAGCATAGATGGAAATTTCAGGTGTCCACAGCACCTGAGACAGGAGCCAGGACAGGGCCCTCACCACACCATCTCGTCCTTCTTCTCAAGAATTTTCTCTTGATTGGTATGTGCTGATGCTGTTCCTCTGTGCCCTCAAGTCAGAACCGACTCGCAGCTGACCCTCCAGCGAGTTTGCAGAGGCAGTAAATCTCACAGGAGGAGAGGCCCATCTTTCGAGCAGCTGTATTTACGTTGCCAGCACAACTCCTTAACGGCAGGCCACCAGAGCTCCCTAGTAGGGCTCCAAGTTGGTCCTTTCCAGTCGAGAATCAGAATGAGCATATTTTGAGGTGACACTTTCTTCGGACCATTTGCAGTGAACTTTGACTCAGCACGTCATCTTCGATTTGCCTGTGACAGTACAGCAGATTGTTTCTGCCATCAGACGAGGTGAAATGTCGTGGTGCTCTCATGATTGCTTGTCTTTCTGCTCACAGTTTCTGACCCTCCAAGAAACACCCGATGAAGGCGCAGCCCCAGATGAAGAATGTGGCGATGTGGATGATCTCGTAAGTACCGCTGATGTATAGCAGGTGTTCTCATGATTAAAACCCCTCCACCTGTAAACGCAGCCACAAGAGCTGCTTATCATGGACGTGGTGCTTATTTGTGTTTTAATTTCTGACACACCAGATGCTCCCTACACTATTATTTATTGCTGCTGTAATTCAGTCTGATAGGTAATTTCATAATGGAAATTCCTATGCTAGGTTGTTTCGGTTATGTTGCTTAGTCAGATTAATCCTTCCTTTTAAAGGGCTAAAAACTAGAAAAATGTTATTATCATTTGTTGAAACAGCTCTTCACCAAAAATAAGCAATATAGCATGCAGTTTGTGTGGGCTGACAAACAAAAAGCAGCCTTTAAAAAGCCCAATTCTCAAATGTTCTCAATTAACTTAGTATTAACGAAAACAGACTGATAGGCGTGTGACAATTCCTAGACCTCCTTACACGCGAGGACCTGGGCGCCACGTGAGTGTGCCTTTCGTACCCACCTTTGTGACGGGAAGCGTGAGGCCCCTAAGCCTCGTGTGACCTCCGTCCAGCAAAGCTTCTGTGGTTCTTTTGCTTTTTGTGGAGCAGCCTTTAGTGTGCAGATGGGGACGTATTTTCTGTTTAACTCTTGCAGTAAATCAGTGAGTGAATGAATACCTGTCGGCCGATGCAGAGAACCGTTCTCCGCAAACTGTGCCATCAGCAGGGATCTGCAGCTGGCCGGTGCCTTTCTAATTAGGTGGTTCTTGTTTACAGCTGGACATGATCTAGGCCGTGGGATGTGCGGGGAATCCAGAGGAGTGGAAGTGCTATTTCATGGCTGTGCTGCGGGAAAGGCTTCCTGAACAGCCGGGAAGAGGACGGTCCTTCGGGGAAACCAGAAGGTGTGGAGACCTGCAGATAACACGGACGTGAACTGGCCCAGTTCTCGGGGATGAATGTGTGTGCATTTATACTAGAAGGGATAATGTAGACCTTACTATACAAGTTTACAAAGTGTCATCGTTGTTCTCCTCTGTGTGTTTATTGGTAAGGATGGTGGTCCTTGTGGAATTAGTCACGTTTCATCCCGAAACATGGCATGATCTTCACTCTTTCCAGTCCTTTCCAGCAGCATGATGCTCACAGCTGAAACCCCTCATCTTAGGCACCAGTTGCATTCACAGCTTGGGCTGACCCAGCAATGCCATTTGTTTCCTGTCAAGGGAAAGCCGGGTGTGAGAAGCCGCAGGGCTAACTCATTTCTCTTTATACTTGAGTCTTTTAGGAGAAGAACTTGGGGCTACTTTAGATCTTTACAAGTGAGTTTTTAAAGGCATTCACTTGTATAGTTTGCTGTTGTCGCTGTCGTGTGCTGTCGAGTCAGAACTAACCTGTAGCTGACCCTCCAGCAGTGTTTGGAGACAGTAGATCACACAGGAGGAGATTGCGGATCCTTCTTCTGTGAAGCGGCTGGTAAATTTGAAACACATGCAGCGCATACGAATTTTGATGATGTTTCCTTAAAGAAAAGAAGACATACTTTGCTGTTGTACTAGTGAATCTCTAAAAAAAGTTGAAGATGTCACATCTCTTAAAAACAGTTGAAACTGTCACGACTAATACTCGGAAATTTGCGGGTCCTACAAACACATTTTGATTGTGTTAGGACACTTCTTCCTTAATTTCCCATCCCAGACTCTGTAGCATGTCTTTGGAGAGGGACATCATGCATGGGAAAGTGGAGAGATAGCGAAGGAGAGGAAGCCCCTCAGCTGGGTAGGTTGACATAGTGATTGTAGCAATGGGCTAGAATGTGCCAGAGACTGTGGGGATGGCACAGGATAGGGCAGGGTTCAGATCACGTGTCCACAGAGTCACCATGAGTTGTACTCGACTGGATGACACCTAACAACGACGACAACTTGACAGCATTTAACGCAGCTCTGTTCTTACCTAAATTACTTGAGCATCTGAAGGAAGAAATGACAAGCTGGGGAGAGAAAGAACTAAACTCGCCTTGTGGTTTCCTGTTCGGTTGTGTTGTATGCTCTGTGGATCTCTATGCCGTTTAGACTTGGCGGTGGCACACTGAGTGCAGCGTCTTGTTTTGGAGGAGTACATCAAAGTCCCATTTCATGAAAATGTGATGTTCAGATCCAAGCACCCCCAGTTGTTCCACTGACTGTGCCTCTTAGAGCTGCGCCAGGCAGCCCAGGGCTGGTCCCCAGAAGCCCAGATGTCCTACAAGTGGTAGGCTGAATAGGAACTGGAAGTTACTGGCAGTGGGCCTTACCACGTTTGGCCTTCTTGGAGCATGAAATTCTACTGCCTTAGACGGGAGTGATGAAGGAGGAGACACTCGCTCCCCAGTCCCAGCCAGAAGGCCCCCCCATGCATTTCCAAGTGCTCGTCAAGGTGATGTATCAGGAACCACCATTTTTTGTTTTTGTTTTTGTTTTTTAATTTTATTATTGTTTGTGCATGTACCGTCAAATCAGATCTGACTGGTACAGGAGGAGATTGCCCCTCCTTTTCCAGCACAGCATTGGTGGATTCAAACCATGTACCTCTGGAATTGCAGAGAAACCACTATTTTAAGTGTCAGATCTTAGTCCTTTATTTGGTTAACTTACATGTGGAATTTAAAATCTTGCAAAATTATTCTGAAAACCAGATTGGAGATAATTTTTTATTATTGTTGTTGTTTTGGATTTGTGGGTGTTTTGTTTGGGTTTTTGTTTTTTTTTTGTTTTTTTACCTAGTTCAGAGTGCTTTTGAAAAAAAAATCACGTTTAAAGAAGTATTTTGAGTTTGAATGTATGTAGATCTAATGACTGGTTTTGAAGCTAATTTTGATTTAGAGATCACATACTATTAATCTGCTGCCTTCCATTGGCCTCACTCTTACTGTTCCCTTCTCCCCAAAGGAATCCATGTTTGGAACATGAGCTGGTGGCCCATTCAGATTCAGAGCACATGCAGATTGAGAAGTGAGGAACTACCTCCTGCCTTACCAACCATCCCTCACCTTTAACTTTACTGGAGAAAACCAAAACAACCAAATGCACCCTTAATGTTTGCTTGTTTCAAAGGTGTTTGGATAACTAGGCCATAACACCATGGATTTGAGAACGGATTTCGTTTGTTGGGTAAACACTTTGAAGAACTGCTTGGGGATATCAGAATGGGGAGGGAAATTGTGGAAGGAAGCAGACATTCTGAGGGCATGCTGGAGGAGCGACAAGGGTGGGCTGGTCCAATTTCCTACTACCTGTGATTTGTTGAATGTTATACATAAGGACAAAGCTTTCAAGACAGAAAGAGGTGAAGAGAAAGATAAGACTGGCAGCTGACAGGGGAAGGAAACTTTAGGACAATTGTTAAGTACAAATGTCCATGAGTATTTTGTTTTTAATGTTATCTTGGGTGAAGTGATAATGAATCTTCACTTCTCTCCTAAATATTTATTCAAATGCTCATTTCTTACCAATGAATTTAGAGTTGGTTATATTAAAAGACACATTCTGCAGTGTGTATCCAGGAAGCTGAAAGTAGGCTGTCCTGTGGAGCCTTGGGGTCTCTGGATTACAGTGTGTTGTCGTTGAACCTGAAATCAAGCCAAATGCAGGTGACAATGCGCTTTGCCCCTCCTTAAACCACAGTGTAACACTGCCTTCACGTCCACATAATGGCCAGCGTCAGACTTCTGTGTGCTCCCCTTTCAGGAAGAAGAACAAAAAGACCCGCTCTTCTTCAAAATAACGGCAGGTAACGGCTCAGCCAGGAGAGCAGAGAGATGGTGCGTGTGAGACATTTATCACTGCTCGTAATTGTAAAATTGCACTGCAGGCTGTTGGGTTTGAATTTGATTAAGTGAGGGCAAATCAGGGCACGATCAAACACGCTGTCAGAGAGCCACACGCGCGTTCTGTGTAGCCACATCCCTTTAGTTGTTGATTTCACCAGATGCAGTGCCTGTTTCTAGCGTGAAGACTTGATGCCCTGCCGCGGGATCTCCTGAGGGGTTGAAAGCATGAAAGAGCCTGCTCCCTCTACCCTGGGAGTCCTTCCCTCTCCGTTCAGAACAGTCCTGCCCAGGGTCGGAGAGAAAGCCAGCAATTCCCAGCAAAACTCAGTGGTCTTATGTAATGGACCTGTGACTTTTCCATGTCTCCACCTTAGCAGGAAAAATGGAACAATAGAAGGCAGAGATGAGAGAAGGTCACAGGACATTTCTCAGCTGAGGTAGTATAACACTCAGGCCCCATTTGGAAATGACTGATAAAGGTTGAAAAAACCAGCAGGTGCTGTCCTGAGTAATTTTGGCAGCTTTACCAATACCCCCAAACCAGCTCAGTCAACGCTGAACCCCTGCCGTCCATGTCTCAGTGTTTGCCAGATGAGATGAGTCAAAAAGAATATAGTCAGTTATAAGCAGCTTAGAATGCATCTTGAACCAAGCAAAGAAAAAACAAGGGATAAGCTCTGTGCAAAATGATATTAAAATGCTAGCCCAGTCCTGGAAACTCTAGTAGCTTAATGGTAAGGAGTTGTGCTGCCAACCCAAAAGAATGCGGCTCCAATCCACCAGTCGCTCCACAGGAGAGAAGTACAATCTCCTGTATGTTTTACTGCCTCTGAAACCCCAGTGGAGAGGGTCAGCTGTGAGGTGGTTCCAGCTCACCAGAAGAGGAAAGAAGTAATAAATGTATCCATGGCCTGGGGTTTTCCTACATGGCAGAACTGAGACATGCCCCATCGGCCTTGAGAGATGTGGGCATGGGTCATGGGATAAACGAGGCCTCGAGCTATTCTGAGCACTGCAGGGCATCAAAAACTGATGGGAGTTCCCTCAGCTTGATAAAGGGCTTTTATGGAAGCCATACAGTTGTTATGCAGTCTGCATAACCTGCATTATGCAAATGATACAACCTTACTTGCTGAAATTGAGGACTTCAGATGCTTGCCGCAGATGATCAAGGACATCAGCCTTCAATATGGGTTGTATCTCAATATAAAAAAAGACAGCAGTCCTCACCACTGGATCAAAGAAAAACGTGGTAAATGGAGAAAAGATTGCAGTTGTCAGTGATTTCATCTTACTTGGAGCCACAGTTACCACCCATTGTGCCATCAATCATGGTCAGGGACCTCTCCAAGTTAACTGATGTGTGATGAATGGTGTCAGCCTGATGGAGACCATGGTCTTTTCAGTCACTTGCTATGCATCGGAGAGCTGGACAGTGAATAAGGATGACCAAAGAAAAGTTGATGCCTTTGAATTGTGCTGTTGGAGAAAAGTACTGAATATCCCATGGACTGGCCAAAAAACCAAACATGTATCTTGTGGAAAAGTAGGCTTCTTCTAGGCAAAGATCGCTAAGCTCATCTGTACTTTGGGCATGTTGCTAGAAGGGACATCCTTGGAGAAGGACATCATGTGTGGGAAAAGTGACGAGAAGAAAGCTATCAATGAGCTGGATTGACACAGTGACTGTGGTAGTGGGCTAACAACATGCAATTAGGGTAGGTTGGTAGCTTTCCCAAGATGGTTATTCAATATGATACCAGAATTTCTAGACAGTGCAATTAGGCAAGAAAAAGAATCAAAATTGTAAAGACGGACATGCTCGTATATACTGGAAATTCCAAGCAGTCCGCAGGCTACTAGAGCTTGTGAATGAATTTAGCAAAGGTCATTGTTTCTACATAAGAGCAATAAATTAAGAAAATTTCATTTCCAGTAATATCTAGAGGAATAAATCTAGGCCAGATTTAGCCAGGGAGAGGAAAAGACTTGTACATGAGAACTATAAAATATTACCAAAAGAAACCAAAGATCTAAATAAATGGAAAGGCATTCTGTGTTCATGAGTTAGAAGACTTCCTATTTTAAGATGCCTGCACTAGCTAAAGAGACCTGAAGATTCAAGGTAATCCTTACCAGAATGCAACACCCTTTTTTGCATGAAAATATTTCAGTGAAACGTTTTCAATTAAAAAGTTCATCTTCAGATTCATCCGGAACTGTAGAGGGTTAGGAATACGCAGAGCAATCTTGAAAAAAAGACTTCTTGATTTTAACACATAAATTAACATCTATCATATAAGGATGAAAAGATACACCAGTAGAATAAACTAATAATCCAAAAGTAAACTCCTACATCTATGGACAATTGATTTTTCATTTTATTTTTTTTTTTTTAATAAGGGTTCCGAGCCCAGTTAGTGGGGAAGGAACAGTCACTTCAACAGACTATTCTGCAACGATTGGACCTTCACATACAAAAGAATAAAGTTGAAACATAATGTAAATCAATTATTGTATGCAAACCAATTAAGGGAAAGTATAAATTTTTTTAAAAAGAGTTGGCTCTTTAATCTGATAGCATATGTGAAGATTAAAATGGATCAACAGTCTAAAACATAAGAACTGAAGCCATGTGGAAAAAAAACCCCAAAGCCAGAAAAAAACATTGGAAAAGCTTTGGTGAATACCAGAAGTAGAAACAAGTGAAAAAAGTAGATGGTTTGAAATTCATGAGATTTAATGAAAAATTACAAAGTAAATAGCCAACTGGAGAAGAGAAGATTTTTGTAACCATAAAGCTGATAATAGCTGTGTGCTTAGTATGTAAGTATATTTTAAAACGGACCCAAAAAATAGACATTTCTCCATAAAACTTTTACAGATTGTCTATAAGCACCTGGAAAGGTATTATCATTAGTCAAGGCATTTTTTTTTTTACATTAAAGTTCTAGTTTACTCAGAAAACACTTGCCCTGTGGAAATCTTCATTCCAGGGCCCTCAGCGGCTGCGGGACTGGGGTGGTGACTCACGCTGACTGAGAAAGCAGCAGGGCAAGTGGGGCACCACAGCTGGAGCGAGAGCTTTTGGTGCAAATGCACGTCAAGGCAATATATGTAATAGGGGACTCTAGTGGGTATGGAAGTGGAGGACTGCTCTGAGGGGGAAAGATGGGCAGTCTTTTATTATGCAATATACCACCTCTAAAAATCCTCCAGAAGGTCAGCTGTGAGTTAATTCAACTGGATGGCAATGGGCTGGTTTTTTGGTTGTTCAGTTTAACAGAATGGAACAATATGCAGTCTAGTACTATCTTCACGGCTGGTGATATGTGCATGTCCATGACAGTAGTCCCATCATCATGACTGGTGATGTGTCCAAGCCTGTTGTTGTGATTGTGTGTCAGTGCGTCTCATGGAAGATTTCCTCCAGTTTCCCTGGCCTTCTGCCTTACCAAACAAGAGATCTTTTCCTGGTGATGGGTCTTTCCAGAAGGCATGGCCAAGGCATAGCTGAACTCTCATTGTCTTTGTTTCCAAGGAGCATTCTGGTTGTATTTCTTTTACCACCATTCATTTGATTTTTGTTCGATCAATCGTATACATATCATTTTATAACGTTAACTGCAATTGTATGATGCCTTTCTTAATGAAAATTTGCTATACCTTCCATTTCCCTTCCCCTCCCCTTCCCCATCCATTTACTAATCTCTGCTCCCTCTAACTCTCCTCCCCTCCGCCTGTCAGCCCTCCACAGTTGTTTCTGTCCGTGTGTAAGCCTTTCCTTAGTCCCTTCCCCCGCCCCTTCTCTCCCCTAACCCATCAGTTATGCATCTCCTATTCAGAGTGTCAATTGCAGTACACATACTGTCTGATCATCAGTTCATTTCAGGTCGATCTTTCCCTTCACTTACTGCATTGCAGTGTTCACCAGCTGGCCATTCTGTTCCTGCCCTCCCCACCCCATTTCCCATTCCTGGTTGTATTTCTTCTAAAACGGATTTGTGTAGGAGCCAGGTGAAATGGAATAGCCTAAGGTATAGTTGGGATGCTTTGCCAAGTCAACAATTTGAATCCATCAACTTTTCTGCTCTCTTTCCTGTTCTACAAATCTCCTGAATCTCTGGTCACATGGCCTTGGGCAAAATTGCTTAGCAAATCCCAACTTCTGCAAGCATAAGCTATAACATGGAGTATAAATGATGTTGTTATGCACCATCAAGTCAGAACCAACTCAGAGCTGACCCGCCAGTGGGTTTTCAGAGGCAGTAAATCACACGGGTGGAGATTGCCCATCTTTCTTGTGCAAAGCAGTTGGTGGATTTGAACTGTGTGCCTTTGGGTTGGTAGCCCAACTCTTTATCATTAAACCACCAGATTATAAAATAAAATAGTTTATGCTAATAGTCTCTAGCTCACAGAATCGTCAAGATGAAATGAGGTGACCCACTTAAAATGCTCAGCACACAGTTAAGTGCACAGGAAATATCTTCCATTATTATCAGCCTGTCTGCTTATCTCTTCCTCCTGTACACGGATTGGCTCATGTGTAAGGAGTCATAGAAACAACTGCATCTCTGTCCTGAACTTGCTCTGCGAGCCGGGGCATCACACGAGCAGGCCTTCTGTTTTCTTCCTGCGACATGGACTGTTGCTGCTCTCAGGAATGTTAGAGGTTGAAAACGAAGAGTGAGAAATGAACAGGAGAAAGTTCTAAGGCAGCTTGAGTGCAGGTGGGAGAAGGATGTGTGTGTATACACTTGGATCTCTGATCACAGTGTGTCACTTCACCTGGCTCTGTTGTTTCAAGACTTAACCTCCCCTTCCGTAGCCCCTCGGGCCTTAGGCCTTCCGGCAGAGTGAGGGCTGGATGCCTTTGGTGGGCCACTCTGATTAGTGTCCTGATAGAGGTTTACTCTCTCATCAGCTGCCATCCATTCACTGGCCAAGGGAGGCATGGAAAGTATAGGACGTTTATTAATTGTCCAAGCAGAGAGGAAT